GCCATAATGAAGGGAAGCTTCCTTCGGGATTAACCAATAGGGTAGAGGTGACTTTCTTTCCTGAGGAGGACGTTTTTCTTGATTTTGATTGAGGCTGCCTTCGCACAACCGGCACAGGGTATTCATAGCTGCTGGTCTCGACCGGTTCACTAGAATGGTTGGAGCAACTGGGGCTCCTACTATCCCTAGAAGCTGATGTTGGTTGTTGGCTAGGCTCAACTTGAACCACCGGGCTTACCCATTTTTAGATCATGCCTCCGTAGTTTTTGGTATTTAAGCCTTCCATTTCTCTGCGACTTCTGGAACGGATGGGACTTTTCCCTCTCCAACTGGACTAGAATAAAGGAGGGTCGGCCCGGCCTGTGATCGTAGTCCGATAGCTATTCCTGCCCCAACTTAACCAATGGGGTCCGGTAGTCAGGGGTAAGAATGAACAGAAGGCGACTAACCAATCTCTCTTTGAAACCAGATGCCCGGAGATCTTTGATTCGTAGGGCTAGGAGATCGGTGAAGAGGGCCGGACAACCAAGCAAAAAGTTCTTCCATTACGGCTACTCCGAAATTTGGCACTACCACTTTATCCATCCATTACTGGAGACGAAAGCTGCTATCCCTAATGCCTTGCCCCTCTCCCTCCAGTCGGGAGCTAAACCCGGGGAGTGAGAAGAGAAGGAAGGGAAGAATCGGCTAGGAAAAAAGAAGATTTAATCGTGTTAATGCTAAAAACTCAAATACCCGATATTCTCCGACATTTAGAATATCTTATACTTGGTTCGAATCCAATTCCTGGTAAGGAAGGCAAAGATTATCAAGAAATTCCTGGATGATGAACAAGATGCACTGCAGCAGCAATAGCAAGTCACTTTGGAACGACCCGGCATCGAGGTCTCGACGAGCCTTCTCTACTCCCCAACCGCACCACCTGGGGAAACCAAGCGAAAGAAGACAAGATCGAATCTCCAAGCACTGTCTTGTGCTCGTCTCGGTGAATGGACACAAAAGAGATATATAGAGCACTGGGGAGCTCAGAGACAAACAAGTGTATTTCGCTTGCTTTAAGGTACGCACCTGTTATGTTCACCATTCCTATGGATATTGGCTTCAGGTGGTTACCTCAATGTCAATGGTCGTCTTCCCCTGTTAGAAGTTTGACTTCTGGCAAGAGTCGCAAGTCTTGGACTCCCCTATACCGCATGGAGTAGGATATATTCTCTCTATGCGTGTGGGATCGAGCCATGCTTTTAGGCGCGGATGGTATGACTCAAAAGGAGTTTCTATCTCACCTTTGGCCATTTAAGCATGAATTACTCGAGTGGGCGGCAGTCAACTTCTTCACTCCACTGTTCGTTTATTTCATCTTTCCTATTCTTCTTTTTATTCTAAATATTCTATTTAATCGTTAATGTTGATTTTCTTATTATTCATTTTTTTATTAGTCTAATAAATGTATAATGAGTGGATTCTATCATTAAGTTGATATATTTGACCTTCCTTAATAAAAGTTTGTTGATTCAGAGATTTCTTGATTTGTGTCCGTTTCTGCACGCCCTTTTATGCATCCCCATAGAGTAAGATTTTTCGCTCCTCTTTGAGTTCCTCTATGTTGGTGCTGAAAGGGATCGTATGGATTTCCTAGGGTAAGCGCAGTTTCTTGACTTTCAAGCCTGCAAACAAAACAAAGGGCGTCGTTCGCCCCACACTGAAGAAAGAGTACAACAATAAAGAGAAGATGAATGCAAAAGATAGAAAGGCCTGCAGACCCTATTCTTCTTCCATACTCACAGCGAATTGTGCTTACGAACGAGTTACGCGTCTTCAATGCGAGTTGTGCATGGAATTTTGCCTAATTAAATAGTGGCCTTTGTTGTTTTCGAGTTCCCCTTGCCTTCGGAAAGTATACTCCTAATGGTATCTTAGTTCGCCATAGGCGTCTGAAGGGGGAGTGAAGGCATTCTCTTGGGAGAAGCCAGCCTGCTTACTATATATTAGGGGAGGAGGATGCTATTTAACAGTGGTAGGGGAAGTAGCCCCAAAGCGCAACCAGACTCTTGTTCTTCCTCTTCAGCGGCCAAAGCATTAAGCAGTTGTTTTTGGTTCGTTTTGAGTTGAGTTCCTTTCTACAAGGACGCCCACGAGTTTCAGCGAAAGTGGATATAGGTTCTTTAGGTTGGATTTCTACCTCACTTAGAAATTCCCTTTCGCCTGACGCCTCGCGGCCTTCTCATCGCCCTAAACGCTCCTCAAAGGCATCCCCTTCTCCTAACATGCTCCTAGTCCTCTCCTAAACCTACTCTAATCAAAAGTCATGAAATGGATATATACTTTCTCTTCAGCCTTAAGCCGGCAAACTTCAAACAGTCGCTTCTATTTTCTACTTCCTTCCCCATGCTGCAATCTGTTACAGTTTATTGGTTATTTCCGTTCTTGTCAATGGGCCAAAGTCTAGCTTCGTCAAGTCAGTCTTAGTCACGGGGTTCTTTTCGCCTGCGCAGTCAGTATTCGGGTCTCGGTTGGCTCATTCGCTAGCCCATTGTCCATTAGTGGTCCATTCCTTTCCGCTACTGCATTTCCTCGTCTGCTTGTTAGGCATCCTTAGCTCATCTCAAAAAAGTGTGTCGGCATCTGTCTTCTCTTTCTTTCCCTTGTCTTCAGTCTTGAAGGGGGGCATGCTCTCTGCGTAGATAGGCATTTTGATTGAGCTAATCAAAAGTCAAGTTTCAGTTCACCCAAAATAAACAACGTCAGCAGGTCTCGTTCGGTACAATTTTTCCACTATCCAAAAGGGGCCATAACCTCTCGTCCTGGTATGCGCTACTACCAAGCACTGAAATGCCCGGTCTAAGTCCTAGGTGGGGAAAGCATCTGTTCTAACCACTTTTCGAGGGTTTCCAAATTCAAGGTGCATATCTCTCTGATCCGGCTGTCTGGTCTTAATTGTGTCCTCACCAGGGATCCCCTCTTTCTAAGATTCAAGCAGCTTATTGCTCTTCTCCTTCTCCCTTATCCTTCCGCCACTGGCTCAACGAATTCTAGTAATTTGTTCTAACCCAAGTGTGGACTCGTTCCTAACGCCATAACCATTTTTTTCCATTCTTTCTCCTCGTACAAGCAATCTACCCCTATGTCTGTCTGTATAAATGGCCCTAACATTGCGTTCTAAGCGCCAATCTCGATTCAAGTCGAACTATTGAAACCATTTTTCAAGAGTAGCGGAACACTTTACCTTCCTTTTACCGCTCTGTGGTACTGCTTTTGCTTTGTTCGTAAATAAGAGAAAGCAGCTTCTATTTATAGACGTGGGAAGCTCTAAGCGAAAAAAAAAAGAGTCTTTCGTTTTTCGCGGGTATCGCCACGTGGCTTAATCCCGATCACTCTATCAGGAATAGAACAAAATAATATAGCGCACATCAGAGAAGAGCCTCCCCCCCTTTATAATATAATAAGAGAGGCCCCCTGCGTCCTTTCTTCATAGATGGAGCAATCCTCACTCGACACTCCGTCCTAGCGTAGGCGATTGAAGTAAAGCCTCTGCCTCTATCGCTTGATTGAAAGGATCAGACACTTTCCCCTACTTTTGACAGCACGATCAGCTTAGCCTTAATGGACTGAACGAAGAAGTTCAGTTGAAAGTTGAAATAGTTCAGTTACACTTATTTATTAACACGAAGGCTAGTGCTAGTTGAGATCAGGGCCGGACTGTAACTACAGAATTCCAGAAGTGATGTGACCCTTATTAGTTTAGTAAGGACAGTTAAGTTACAGAAGAAGAATCATTCCATTCTCTGCTATTCCGTTTGATTGCTTGCTATTCCAAAGCAAAAGCTTAGTAACTTCAATCCTCTGGTCGAGCGACTCCGTTCCTTAGACAGCTTTCAGTCGAGTGATTTCCAACCATAGCTAACCAGCAGACGCTCAGTCCCTTGCTTGTTAGGACGCCCAGGAGAAGGAAAGAAAGATACATATTCCCTCTCGGTATAGTGGCGTGAAGCTCTCGACTGTTAAGGAGAGGTCTGAAAGTGCTCAAGCCTATAGCTAAGGAGAAGAAGAATACAAATTCCATAACATACCATACCATACAATAGAGTTGAAAGTCATTCTGAAAGCTCAAAAGATGTTGATTCACCGGCAAATGGAATGAAGCTTGTTAGTAGCTTTAGTTTTTTCACGGTTGGAATATATATTCAAAAGCTTACTCTGATCCTTCTGACTCCGAACTGAGGGAATGTTTTATCTGATTAAAGGCCTTAAGTCATAGCCGAGCTAAGGCGCTCAATTTCGAACTTTACACAGAACGCGCTCTTTCTTCTTTCCTATGGCTCACTTCACTCAAGCTATAGGATTTAGTTAGTTACACGACTGTAAACTCGAGCGATTTCATACCTGCGCATTAGCTATTGAGTATTCTTGCTGGGGTCACAAACAGAAGCAATATCCATTCTTAATTCAACCCGGAGGACTGTGATGTGACTGTAGGGGGAATGAATTCTTTCTTCCCTAGCTTCCTTCCTACACTATTCTTTGATCTTCTTATCGTGAATTGACTGAAAGCGGAGGCTGAAGACAAAGTCACCCAGTTCTACTACATAGTAACGTAACCTTCGCTCACTGCTATTCAAAAGCTACTATCAGGTGATTTACCAGTAGTACAGTTCAGTCAGAATAATCATTCCTGAAGAGAGGAAAAGGCTCTCTGGACATTGAATACAGGATTTTCCGAACTAGCGTATCGTTCATATCACCTGTAATTGCCTGGCCTTCCCTTGCATTCCATTATAGTGTTTACATTTGCTTCAATCGCTCCTTAATCGGCGTAATAAGTCATCGATCGGACGGCCTGCGACTCATCTCGGCTGATGGGGCTCATCTGATGCCATCTGTCGGCAGATTTCGGTCTGGCAGGGATGTATCGGCTCATTCATGCTTATCCCACTGGTAGCTTCATTGCTTGAATCGGCGGATCAAAGATCGGTACCTGCCCTTAACTGCTAGAGGTGGATCGGATGAGAGGCCTCTATTTGCTTGTTCCTCCTGCTCGCTCTAGTTCACCTGGTTCACTTGTGTTTAATCCGAGGTCGACTCATTCCTCTTAGCTGCTCTTTCCTAATTAATCCCCTCTCTCCCAGCGGATTGGAATAATTCTACCAACTACGGATCTCATGAATGGGAATGCAGTCAAACAACTTTCTCTTGCCCATTGGAAGTTGGTATTGGGAGTTTAAAGGCTTTTAAGCCATTAGACAAAAACCTTCTTAAAGCATCACTTCAGGGCTACCTGAAGAAAAGTCACTAAAGAAAACAACTACTTACGATATTTCCTCATCTTCAATGTCGCTAAATAGTGGGTTTTTCCTAACCTAATAGGGGTTTAGCCTATACCGTAGTGTTCAAAAAAAAGCCTTTCTAGAGCCTTACTTCATTCTGGTGTCTTGGATTTGGTTCGATCAGTGTTTTCGTAAAAAATGAATAAGATGCATTGGGCGTTTAGGCTTGACTAATAAAATAACATAGAAAGGGCTTTTTCAGCTTACTCTGCTACAGCGGAACGTTAGCAGGGTGCCGCGGTTTGTGGGCTTGAAGGACTTAGCGCCGTGACAAGTGGTATCAGAGCCAAGCCATGGCTAGTGGGAAGAACCCGTAGGCTACGTCGAGCCACTGCTTACGTCCAGCCAAGCGATGAGATATGATAGAAGATGTTCTCTATATACGCTATTTCAAATAAATGAAATTGCTTGCTAGGGATCAATCCCAGACCGAGGAGTGTAGCATTTTGGCTTTTTAGCGTTAGCTATTCCCTCTTTTACTGGCATATATCCAGCTACATGCTCGCTCAACTCGAGCCTCCTTCTTATTCTGCTTCAAGTTCTGATTCGGCTTCTTCTACTACTGATGCGGAAAATGCTTCTTCTTTGCCTACTAAAGCTGCTAAGCTAAAGTCCCTCCTTTCACTTTCATCTGATATTAAGCTAGCAACTGACTCACCAACGGATTCAGGAACCGAAACTGCAACAGGAACAGAAACTTCTGCAGCTTACCTTACTGCGGATTCAGCAACGAATTCCGCACCTTCTCCGTCCCTATAGTCTCTCTCATCGGTGGTCCCTGGCCTAGCGCGGTCCCTAATCGGAACTATTTCTTCTTTATCTTCGGCTGATTAAGCTTTTTCTGCCGATTCAGCTTCGACTGCGGATTCACCAACTCTAGCTTATCCGGATTCACCAACAGATTCAAAAACTGAAATAGATTCGGCAACAGATTCAGAAACTTATTCTGTTGATGCTGCTACTGCCGATTCTGATTCCTCTTCTTCTGCTTCTTCCGGAGAGAGGGAGACTAGAAGAGCTTACCTCTGGCACCGGGCTTTCTTTCTCCAGCGCATATTAGCAGCGATTGATAGGCCGGCTTTGTCCGCTAGACAACAATTAAGTTGATTAAGTCCCATCCGTCTCCTTCTGTCCTTGGGACTGACTTGACTGCTACCGAAAGAAAAGACCGGCTGCTTCGTCTTCTGCCGATTCTTTGTCTTCGTCTTCTGTTTCTTCCGCGGATTCCGTTGATCCGGATTCTCCTGGTGTGGATTCAGCAATTTCTTCTGCTTACCTGACTTCTAATTCTGCAACGGAAACGGATGATGGAACTGAGTCAGGAACAGATGATGGAACAGACTCCGCAACAGATTCGGCAACGAAAACAGATTAAGCTAATTATGCTTCCGCAGCTTCTGGGGATTCGGCTTCTCAATCAAATTCTTCTTTTTTGCCTGCGCTAACGCTATAGATCGGTACGCTTCCAGATCCAGATGAAGGAACCAACCGGTTGGTCGACCCTTTCATCCCCGCTAGCGCTAGATTCTGAAATCTGAAAGAGCTGCAGCGCCAGAAGCGGATTCGGGACCCATCATCACATACATCATTTGGATGAGTTCGCGGAACCAAAAAGAGAGAATGCCCAACCAAACAGAGACCAAGGAAAGGAAAACCAAGATCGGATATAGCATAGCTATAGCTGGTTTTCCGCGAAATCTATTTCAGTAGAGCGAGGGAAAGAGCCCAGAACTGCTGATACAGCTTCGGACTGACGGAAGCATACTGAATGGGGATATCTCCATCTCCGGGTTCATCTCATTTCTTGGGCCTTACCCTAAAACCTCCTCTTCCCTGTCTTCTAGAGATTGCCTAAAATATGTAATAGAAACTACTGATCCGCTTTCGAGCTGTCGAGTTAAGATTGGCTGAACGTACTTTGGAAGCTCTCCTAGCGGAGTATTTGTCTTGCTTATGACGACAGACCGACTAGAAACCCTCCGCGGTCGAGGTTTGAAAGCAATAAATCGAGTTAGATTCGGTACGGTACGCATCGAAGGCGATACGAGAAGCGGAAGCAGAATTAGCTGCCGAATCCGCAGTTTCAGTTTCAGTTGTTAAATCTGTTGCTGGAGCGAGGATTGCTGCTTAGAATATATCGCCTACGCCTTTTTCTTTGTGAATAATTCCGGTTTTTCGATTAGACGATCCCTTAAAGCTGTCAATCCGCACCTTTGCGCGAGCAAAGAGCGAAGACTTTACTTTATCCTTTGTTGGTCAGATTATGCTAGTCTACGGGAGCTATTAGCCTTAGGCTTATATTTCGGTCTTTTTTTCTTCCTTATTAGCGAGCCCTTTTCCTGCCTCAGGCCCTGAAACCGTCTCATCTCAGCACTCCTTCTACGCCCGCAGCAGACCTTTTCTCCTACTTCCCCGAGCCCGTCTCAGGCCGGGTTTCATTTGACTGACCCTCCGAGGCTAGTGGTAACTTCACTCACCATTAGGAGAATCAAGATTAGGGATCACTCGTGTCCTATTATCCGGTGGAGAACTGAACTGAAAGTCTTCCTATCCGTTATCTTGCTACCGATAGTGAATATCGAATACTAGAAACTCGACACTGAGATATGAGATTAAAGACAGGACTGAAACAAGCAACGGCCAACGACGGGCTCGGAAGGTGAAGTACTTTTCCTTATTTATTCCTTTGTGGCATTTAGTGTTGGATTTCCCCTTAGGGTTTTTAGCATCGATCGTCTTCATTGAGATGGATGGTGGGAGGTAAAGGTCCTTCCCTTTTTGGCCTGGCCGGTTGTGGGCGAGGAGGGACCTTATTAATTAGTAAACCCGACACCGTGGTTCGTAGCCACGTGCTCTAATCCTGTCCCCGCCTAATCATCTGAGGCCGCCTCAATCTTTCTGATTCGTAAATAACTCAGTGAGTGCTTTTTTCTAAGAAAGAAAATGAAAGGAAAAGAAAGAGAATGACTTCCAACAGGGCAAGCCAAGAGAGAAAGGAAAGGTTACGATTATTAGCTTTCCTGAACCGGCAAGAAAACTGCTTACGCGCTAGTTCTTCACTCCTCTCTCTTGCCCTCTGACCGGCCTGCCTTAAGCCGGATCAATACTTGTTTTACTCTAATCTAAAGAAAGGGGTGTACGTAATTCCAATACCTGGGGAAAGCTTTCAAAAAGGGAGATTGACCCTATTGATTAAGGGCGAAAGCCTTTCCACTACCAATACCAGTATCAAAACAAGCTCCCCCTACCCAATCCTCTGAGCAATCTAGGACACCTGGGGACGAGGGCCAGAGCAGAGCTTTGGTCCACCACCGGACGAGCGACCAATGCTGTCTCGAAATCAATCCCTTCAAAGACCGACACGCCATCCGACTTACATAACCAATGCCCGCCGTCTTGTACTAATAGGTCCTGTTCTAACTTAGGAATACCTGGACCTTTCCAGTGGAAGGTCGTCCTCTAGGCAGGGAATGGCAATTGAAGAGTAGTAAACTACTTCCTCTCGTGCTTCTTTTCCTGTTTTCATAGTACTATATCCATCCCCCGGAACATCTCGGTTCCCCCATCTTCGTTTACTTCGGCTTTAGTCACCTATCAGCGATTTCGGATCATCATATATGCCAATATGAAAAAGACCTTTCTTTCGCGAGGGCATAACGAGTCCTTAGGCATGAGCGGCGAATCTCTAAGTAGTTAAGGGGCGTAGCGGTGGACTTAGGCTCTTAAAAGAGCTCCCTAGCGATAAAAAAAATAAGACATATTATATTATATTGGTTAAATAAACCAAGAAGAAAGGACTAACCAACCATCAATGGACTGCAACCTTACGGCAAGCACCCTGAGAACTCTTTTCCTTTTCGGCTACCAATCTGGTTATTCTTCCTCACTGCTCAAGCAAAGGAATTTCTCCTTGATTGTACGATCAAGCCAAAGCAAAGTGAACGAATTGTTCATAATGGTGTCTGTGTGAAAAGGAGATTCCGCTAGAAAGAAAGATTTGACTCCTCAACAGCTGTTCTCCCCTTACACCAACTGTATGTAGTTGAATCGATATTGGCGTTGCCTGGGTCAACTCTCTCCTATCTCATGTTGCTATTTTAGCCGTTATGTTACATATTTTTTTATTCTTTGACCCGCGAAAGCGAACGAGGAAGCTTACCATTCCGCCGTCGGTCAGTTATTCAAAGAAGAGTATCAACGGTATAACTACGAAATATTGATTGCAAAGCTCGGACTTTCATCCCAAACTATTTCTTTTTTCGAATCTTAACCATGAAAGTCAGTAAATGTTGGCTTCCTCGCACAGTTGAGATCCACACGCATTCAACGGTAGGGAGTAAGACCTTATCTTTACAATTTGGAAGGTAAATTCCAGGGATACTCATCGAGTGGACCATACCAAGGCTTTCTAAAAAATATCAGTGAGTGGACTTCCTAGAATATCCAGTGATGAACCGACAAGTTCAAAAGGCCAAGAACTGATCGTAGCTCGGTCACGGGGACTCCCCACTCTTCTATTGCCTTCACCTTCTGCTTATCCATCCTAATCTGGCCATCCCCTATCCCAATGCCCTAGGAACAAGACTTCTACCCCGGGAGTCACTTCTTTCCCTGTGGCACCTTTGCTTCCTAAGCCCCAGATTCCCGTCTGAAGAAAGCGTAATCCGACTTTGAGTCACAGTCAGTGGGCATCCACTCATATTTCTTTTAGAACAAAAATAGATTCTAGCCGACCCCGATAGATAAAGGCATCCATCTCTTGACCTCTACTTTCACTTTACACCGGGCTTTGTTGGATGTGAGATTGCTTCCTTCTCAATTGCACGCGCATATCTTATCTTATTAATTAAAGAGTAAGCGGCTAAAAGGCGGTACCTTCCCTTCTCTTAGACTTGACTGATCTCATCCCCTCTCTAAGGGACTTGGCTCTTCCCCGGCTGGATAGACAGGACAAAGACTGCTTGCTTCAATGCCGTTGGTAGACGAGAACCATAAAAGAAAGAGGGTCTTGCGCTTCTTAAAAAAGGAAAGTCACGAAACAGGTAATGAGACATAGCAGCATCGAGATCTCAGCCCTAGCCGGATGATGACGCCTTTCCTGTTTAGGGCAAAGAACTTAAATGCTGATTTTGACTCTTACGGGTGCCTTGTAGAAAGCATAGCCTCATTGTTCACTCACTAGCTATGCTATACCATAAATCTAAAAGAATGACCTGCCTATTACTGTACTGAATTCAGTCTAAACAAGTGCCGATGTTGCGACACTCAGTCCAGTCCGGATTTTTGGTTTGGTACTGGCTTGGCCATGAGATCGATCCGATAACCTAAAGCATCCCGGCCAACCATTGAGAATGGAAGAAATAGGGAAAAATCCTTCTTAACAGAGAAGCTAATTCTGCCGTCTGCAGGTCCTCAATCTTCACTTCACGCGAAAGCAACGAAACCTCCTCGCAAAGGAGACACTCATTTTGACCCAATTACTTTGACTCTCACCCTAACTGACGAATTTTGGGGCGTTACAGGTTACAAATCAAGAAGCGTAAATTTCTTTTAGGAAACCAATCAAGGTGATAGAACATTGTTTGTTTGCAATAGAGTTACAAATCAACAGACAATCAAAGACAAAGGACGATACTCCTAATCTGCACAAAGAGCAACTACAACAATTGGAGAGGTTGCTCAATCAATATGAAGAAGTATTCCTTCAAGGGGTTGCTCCTTAGAAGGAAAAAAGAGCATGCTATTAACCTATGTGAAGGAAAAGAACCTGTGAATGTTAGACCCTATCGATACCCTTATTGCCACAAGGCAGAGATTGAAAAGCAAGTAAAGGAGATGTTGAATTCTGGTATGATAAGGCATAGTAATAGTGCTTTCTCTAGCCATGTAATCTTAGTAAAAAATGGCTCATGGAAGGATATGTGTTGATTATAGAGCATTGAACAAGGTAATAGTTTCTAACAAATTTTCGATACCAGTGATAGATGAATTACATGGAGCTATATTTTTCTTAAAATTGGATCTCAAGTCTAGATACCAAGTAATGGTCAAAGAGAAGAACGTCCACAAAATTGCGTTCAGAACTCATGAAGGACATTACGAAATTCTTGTGATGCCTTTTGGTTTGATAAATGCTCCCTTTACTTTTCTGGCATTGATGAATGAGATTTTTGGAACGAAGATTTGTACTTGTATTCTTTTATGATATTCTAGTGTATAGCCCAAATTGGGATACACATATGTTGGACTTGAAGACGATGATGGACATTCTACAGCAGCATTAGTTGATGGTGAATAAACAAAAATGCTCTTTAGCTCAATTTTCTGTGGAATATTTGGGTCATGTAGTTTCACATAAGGGAGTAGCCATGGATTCCGCAAAATTCAAAGTGTTATCCAATGGCCTATATCTACAAATGTTAAAGGAGTTTGAAGTTTTTGGTGTGACTGGTTATTATTGCCAGTTTATTCAAAACTATAGCAAGATAGCAAGGCCTTTAACTAAGCTCACCAAGAAAGACGGTTTCCCTTGGAATCCCAATGCCCAGGTTGCTTTTGAATTATTAAAACAGAAATTAACAACAGAGTCAGTATTAGCTCTTCCAGATTTCTCTCAACCTTTTAGCATTGAGTGTGACGCATCAGGCTAACGAAGCCCTCGATGTTAGTTCATTTTCTCCACAATGAAACGAATGTAGAAGTTGTACAGTCTGAGTCATTGGATAGATATGAGGTTCTTAGATAGCTAAAACACCATTTACATCATGCTTAAGATAGAATGAAGAATCAAGCTGATAAGAAAAAGAAGAGAAGCTTTGAAGCAGGTGAATGGGGTTTTTTCAAATTGCACCCTCATTGTCAAGTTTATGTTGTGGCCCATATTAATGCCAAACTTGCTACTCAATATTATGGTCCATTCAAAGTGTTGGAGCACATTGAGGCTGTAACTTATAAATTGCAACATCCTGAAACATCAAGAATCTATCCTGTGTTTCATGTCTCATTATTCGAAAAGGCTGTGGGTGATTACAAGGTTGTACAAGATTTACCTCCAAGTTTCGATGGTGAGTCTACGATGGTATAGGAATCCTGAGTTGTGTTAGCTTCCTGCCTTGTAACCAAAGACGGAAAAATAATTGCTCATATGTTAATTCATTGAAGGGGGCAGTCAGTTGATGAAGACACTTGGGAAGATGAAGTTACTTTCTATATTCAATTTCCAGGTCTCAAGAAGGAGGCAATGTTGCGGTGCAAAATAGTCAGGAAGGGATTATGATCCAACAACCATATAAGAGGCCAAAAGAGAAGGCAATAGCGATAGTTAGTTATGACATAATACATCTTTCCTTATAGAGAGGGGGCATCGAGGAATATCTTTTGGTTAGTTATGGATAGAAAGTAATAGTTCTCTATAAGAACAAGACTCTAGATAGTAGTGATTATACTCCTACTAATACTTAATTATTCAATAACAAAACTCAATATATTGCTCACTTCTTTCCTATTATTTTGATGCAATTTGTAACAAATGCATAATAAAAAAATATAAGTAAAATTTGAAGATTTGCTTACTTTTTGTAAAAGATAATCATAGACAATATAACACAAAAACTTAGCTACAATACATATATAGATTTGCATATACATATATAATTTACACACGTTTAATGTATACACAATCTTAATATCATGAAATTTTGCATATTTTTACTTGTATATTTGGTTCATATCTTGAAACTTAGCTACAATATATATCATAGTAAATGTAGATCGATGTACAAAAACATTTTCTAATATTTGGTTCAACATTTTTCCACATAGAAACGCATACTTTATTATAGGTATGATTGTGAACACGAACTGAAAGCCACCCAACAAAGAAAATGCAATTTCTTTTTCTAATTAATTCGTTCAGTTCTTTATTTCTGTAGGATTTATTTAACCATTTAAAATGGTCCAGATGAAATCTTCATCCCCACTATTTGTTGTTATAAGTTGCTTGCGACTACTAAGTCACGGTCCCTGAATTTACAGACCAGAGTGTATACAAAAATGATTTGGAACTATTGAAAGAATATGCATCTGCATAATCATTGGGAGATGAAGCTATAAAAAGTTCTTTTTGGGAACCAAGCATCAAGTATATAGTAAAATTATATTTATCAAAATCGGTTGTGGGATGCTAAAACCACTTGCTGAGTTTTCTCTATGTTTAGATCAAGTGCTCTCGTCCGTACTCACGTACAATTACGGGCACACTCGTAGGAGGGATCTGCAACAAAAAGCAGACAAAAGATTGCATTAACGGAAATTAAGTTTAAAAAAAAAAAAAATTAGAAAAATATTCACAATTTTAGCCACACTCGAGGAAAATAATTGGATATAACAGTTCAGGGCAAAAAGACCGTTATTGTATAGGACAAATTAAATCATTTCTGAAATTCAATCATAAATCACCAAACAAAAAGATGAAAGCCTTTACAGCATAACACAATCAACTAACCATTCCATGATCCGTAACAATTGCCGACACATAATCTGAAGGAGTAGCATCATATCTGTCCATCAAAATAAAACCGGTCTTTATTTTTATTTAATTCTTTTGAAAGGTGGACGGGGGCGTGTAAATACAAAGTTAAATCTAAAGCTTACAACAAATTCAGGAGCTGCAAATTATCCTGACTAGTCCAATTGTCCAGATACTTGACATCCATTCTTCCCGGAACCATGGCAACAGCATCTGGATCACCTGTATGAAATTTTAAATTTGTCAAATTCAGTTGCCAACTGCATTTTATATTAAGGCAGTTTGATTGCTTGGCAATGCTGGATTGAATAAAAGTGGGAGGAAGTTACCCCCATTATTTCATAATAAACAATACTTAATAGCAGAACAGTTGAATTCCCATCTCTGTTCCTCTTCTTAATACGCATCAAGCATATGCTAAAGAAAATATTCAACACTAGCAAACTTGAACTTACCTAGTTCATTGGAACATATTGAATCAAGTTGCACCCTTTCATGAAATTTATAAGCTTCACAGCAGATCAATACTGGAACACTGAATGCATGAGCCATCATTGCAACACATGCAGTCCCAACCCTTGAATATACAGTTCCATTACACAGAATGGCTGAAGCTCCCAGAAAAACTCGTGTGACCTCATGCATGATGTAAGAAATGGCATTTATATGAGTATATGTACAACTCAGGCCCTTGGCCACAAGCCTCCGAAGTAAGACCTGACTTTCAAGCTTTGGTCGTGAGTCTACCACAACAACACGGAATTGTTTCCCAAGATCATGGGCATGTAAAAGAATCATCTCAACAACACATGATGATCCATATGTAAGAAGAACATCTCCATCCCTAACTTTTGTAGTAGCATGTCCAACAATCACCTTATCAGCAAGAATTATTTTTTCATTAATAAATCGGTTAATATCTGAACAAAGAGCAGCTTTTGCCTCAGATTCAGTATGACTTAAAGGCAACTTGGCAATACGACTCTTTACAAACCTAATTGCATTTCCCATACTAACAGAAAGAGGTCTGCATTCAGTAAGAAATGAAACATAACTACTGATTTTTGCAGTTAAATCCCTGGCAAGGACTTTTTCAGGTGGTGTGGAGTAGTTCACAATGGCTTCCTGAAATGCTCTAAGCATTTCAATACAACGAGCATTACCCCCTGATATATCTCCTGCCAAAAAACGCAATCCAACCTGAGAATTAAATAGACCAATGAGCATCATCAAAAGTAATCTGCAAACTTGAGCAAGTAGTTAAAGTAGACATCTAATATTATCAAGGTTTCTGAAAATATATTAAGCATTGAAAACTTTTATATAATAACAAGAAATAAAAATTAAAAACTACAATAATATCAAAGAAATTGGAGATTCAACGTGCAAGAATAACAATTAATTTAAGATGGTCCTCCTATTGCAGTTAAATTAAATGTATTTATCTAAGCACATATTATGGACTCAAGTGAATAATGGAAAGAAAAAATTAATCTTAGTGTTAATATTTATCTTCTGATCACATAATTAACTGACCTTATCTACAAATAGAAGCTATCTACATTATTTTGAACCAACCTTACAAATTTTAAGAGTACCTGGAAAACAGCAGGATGCACTGAATCAAGTTGGAAAAGCTTTAATTCAAGTTTAGGAAGCTGATTCCCATATTCATATTGAGGCAAATGACGAAATAATTCAACTCTTTTTCTAGCTTCAGTTTGATTGACTACTGCACGCCTTTTTGCCTTCTCCACTCTATGTTTATCATCAAATTGCATCCGTGGAGCAGGAGCATCTTTTTTCCTCTCTTTCTCCAAAGGACGATCTCCTGATTTCTTGTCAGTAGCTACTGATGGCATAACAACAGGACCATCTTTCTTTTGTGATGACTGCCTCATATTTTTACTAGGGGCTGCTCTGCTAGAATCAGCAACTGCAGTAGTTCCACCAGCTGGATACAGAACAACAATCAAAAGCATAAGCAAACTATAGGAACAATAGGAAGTGAATAAAATTCCAGAATATCAGTAACTACTAACCAGAAAATGAAACTATTTGACATGTTAATAACCATCTACTAAAACACTGAACACCATATTCTCATTTTCAAGGCCAAGTTACACAACTTTATCTCATTTTATCATAATTTTCAATAAAACAAGTGAAAATGATAGTATGATTCCACTAAAATATAAGCAAACTCAAAAAAACACCAGGATGCTCAAAGTAAAAGTTTACCGTAGTTCTGAATTGAAAAAACTAACTGAAATAATGTCATTACCCTGCTATGTCTGAAAGTTATGGTAAATAAGGAACCAATGCTAATTTAATCCATATTTTTCATATAAAATCCAATCTAAGAGATGAACATTTCAACATAACAGGCAGTTGGCACAATTTATAGGAATGTACATAAATACAGCCATCTGAATTCTGAAATATTTATCATATATGGCACCAGCTCCATAAGTTTCTCCTTACTGTAAACGAATCAAGGGGTAGATGAATTTTAATGGCTACAACCTTTAGAAGCAGCTTTTGCAGCTCTTTGTGCCTCCTGCAAGGCTCGTCTCTCAGCCTTTGTAGGTTTTGCTTTTAGGGGCTTTGAAATTGATGGTTGATCAGGGTGCACTTCTTTGGCAGTCTCTTCCCTCTTTTCTGCGGGATTTTGACTCACCTTTAATATGTAATAAAATAAGGCATGCAAATAATTCCATGTAAAATCAGATATCAATCAGAAATAAAACAGCTTGTACAGGAATAAGAAGCAAAAATCTAAAACCACTTTGGTTTGAGGAAAAAAAAATTAAAATACAGGTATTATATCATCCCATCTAATAGCAGGATTTAAACCATAAACTGATAGATTAAAAAAAACTCAGTACCACTACAATTATATCCTTAATGAATCAATAATTGGGTTTATTGTTGTACAGCCCACATATTGAGCACTATTATCAATAATTTTATGAAATGAAATACAACCAGCAATTCATGTACATGGCAATAATAGATATATCAGGTGCAAAACATCTTCCAAGGAAACTTGTATATTTGACATGATATCGAAGCCCTAATGATCATGTGGTAAGGATTTCAAATGTTGCTCTCCATTCTTCAAAATTAAATGCTGTTTTAGCATACGGTACAGTTGTCCTGTGCATTGTCCACATTCCAAATCCAATGGGTTATGTACAACTGAATGTTAGATGGCCTAAGCATGTAAGTCCTAGAGAAGCTGACCATATCCAAGAGACAGTGCCTCAATGCATGAATTTTGAAGATGATATTGGTGTGGTGGAAAAGTTGAAAAGGGAATAAATGGTAAACAAAGCTTGGGAATCACATTATTTGTTGTTATGTTGAAGTAAAACAAAGAATTAGTACAAGTTAAGCAAGAAGCACATTAACATTGACTTGAGATCATACCATATCACAAGCATGGTTATCAACCTAAACTGTGGCAGACCCCAAAAACACTATAGCAGAATAGCAGATAACAGAATCAGTGACCACTATATCAAAGATTTAGTTTAAGTAAAAGATAGATAATTTATACTCTACAAACATGAAAAATAAAACATCAATCTAAGGCATATTCATCTTGGATACAAAGAGATTTGAGAATGTTGGTGTGAAATAAGAAGAAAAGGAGAGACCTACCTGCAAGAATAGAAATCTGTGATGTAATGAAGTGTGAAGAAAGAAGAAAAATAATAGGCACTGATAGAAACTGGATCAGAATATGAATGAAGGTGTGTATTATTATTGAAGAACCCTAATTCTGATCTTTCCCAAATGTGGTGCAAAACCAAAATGGGAAGAATGTACAATAGAAAAATTGATTGCCTGGATATTTGAGAGATCCAGGCCTCTCCCAAGTCCCTACTACACATATGAATTCCCCACCTCCCTCTCTGGTATCCCTCCCCTATTTATATTAATTACTAGCAGATTTGATTATTTTGTTACTGGTTTCCTTCTCCCCATTCATTACAGATTCTGTTATTCTGTAATAGCATATTAAGACCTACAAGGTCTGTTAGCCTAATCCTATTCCTGTTATATAGAGTGTAGTAATTGGAGGATGTCTATCAAACACAGGAAAGAAAAACAGAGACCCATAAGCCATGGAGCAGTGATAGAACTCTCAGATGTATTATAAAAAATAGAAGAAATTGTATCAATTAAAATGCGAATCACAAAACAAAAATTCTATTAGAGATAAACCCTAAGCAGCCCAGAGCCTGTGGCTCATTCAGAGTAATCCTTTATGCATTCTCTACCTAGCTAAACAGCTTTACAACAAATTATTGCAATGCTCCTCCCCTGTCTCTTCACTCTCTCCTTATATGTCCCCTCACATGCCTGTCCTCCAATTATAACCAACTTAGACATTTTATCTACTTCGGCCTAGGTCTTGGTTCCTATCATTACCGCCCTCTAGAACTGCAGCCTTGTCCTCAAGGCTCAAGGCTGAAATTAAGGCCTGCCATCTTGACTGCACCACTCTCAACGGATGCAAACCTTTCGAACCATTTTAACCTTTGACTATAACATATCAGATGGAGAAGTGCCTACTTAGAATAATTCCCACAGAATTGTAGACCCATCCTATCTTCTTCAGTAGAGTTTCTGGTATAGTAGACTGAAGAACATCACCATTCTCCATAAGTGTAGAGGCAACAGAAACTCTAGGCTAACTGATCCTTTTTTCAAGGATTATATGACATACTTTGTGCTTCTCATCAAATCCAGTCGCTTTTGTCCCTTTTATGTCCTCTTGGCTGAAAATTGGTATTGCAAGGTCACTACTTTTTCCAAATTGTTTATACTCCTTCTTACCAAATTTTGAACCTTTCTTTTGATTAACACAATGAATTCAGCAACCCAGGTTTATGATGCTCCAGAGATTCAAAACTACATAAAGAAAAGGAGACACAACCTGTATTCTTGCACAAGGCCTTGAATCCCACCTAAGACTTGCAGGTTAATATCAAGGATCAGTATATTACAATTGGCAATAGAATCTTGGGATTGTGCATTGTATGCCCTCTGAGCTTGCCATTTCTTTTCAGTACCAGCCCATTTGATAATCAGTGTAACATATGATCCCTTCATTATATATTTATCATTGATTGCCTATTGGGTGGCTTGTTCTTTTGTTCCATACCTGAAACACACACACCCTCTACTCATTTGTTGTAAATCTCTTACAACTTGTAAGTATTTTATAGTTACAAACCAAACAAGGATGTTAATCTTAGAAACATTCCTCAGACACATGCCAATAAAGAGTTTGTGTCCCATCCTTTTTAACTTATCATTTGCATAGTTCACTTGCAACATATTGAAAGACATCATTACATACCCCTTTGCTTCCACTCAGTGTTGTGAATTACTGTATTCAAAATATTTGAGTCATTGTTCAATAACCAAATACACAGAATAAACCCCAAAAACACACTGTGCAGAGGGCCACCCACCCAGGCACTATCATCCCCACTCTTATACCTGCATCTTGATACCTTCCTCCCTAGCAGCTTTACAACCAAATCTGATAATTGGACTAGATGTTGGAAAAGTACAATGTTGCAAAAGATTACTTTTCAATTTTGAGCAGTCATTGTAGAAGAATAGCCTATCACCCCTCAGGTCTTGTTACAAGAGACTAAGTGAGTTAAAAGGAACATAAAAGCAAATAGGTAGTTGGGCCCTTATTGGCTTAAAAGTTTAAATCTGCAGATCCACCATCTCCGCCTACATGCCTGAAGTTGTCCAGCCTTTGTGACAAATGTTCAACTTCTCTGTGCTACAACATCTGGACTCTGATCATCTTTTGTTACCCACATTCAAATGTCCCAAAATAAATGTCGCTTTCATCATTTGGAACATTCCCTTCTTTCTCCGAACTTGAAACTGCTGTCAGGAAAAAATCCTCAGTCCAATCCTTTGTTGTTTGGAGGCATGCCCTTGTTGTTGCATGACTTTTCTGCTTTAGCTACTTCCTTAGCCTCTTTTTCTTCATAATTGATATCTATCTTTGTTTCTTCAATATTCATCAAGTCCAATTGAAGTTCCTTCAAATCTTGTTGGAATTCAAGGAATCTAAAATGGCATTCATTCCCTCATGAATCTTCATAGAGAACTCAATCAATGCTATGGTATCCATCCTTTGTATCCGGCAGGTTAGACCAATTGATAGAATTCTCAAATATATTATAAAAAATAGAAGAAATTGTATTGATTAAAATGCGAATCACAAAACAAATATTCTAGTAGAGATAAACCCTAACCATCCCAGAGCTCAAGGCTCCTTCAGTGTAATGCTTTATGCATTACTAGCTAAACAGCTTTACAACAAACTATTACAATACTCCTTCCCTGTCTCTCCACTCTCTCCTTATATATCCCCTCACATGCTACACACACTCCTCTAATTATAACCAACTTAACACATTTTATCTACTTGGGCCTGGGCCCTTTTTCCAGATTCCTATCAAACAGTGACCAGTATTTCTGGGGGTTGACTAGAAAAGATGCAGGCAAGGAGTGAGTCACTGGATAAGACCATCAGACAATAAAGCTTGAGGAGAGAGGCTTAGGTTTCTTGCACGTATAATTGAGGAATAAGAGTTTCAACCCCTAACACGTTTTTGAGGCAACAAAGCATGAGAAATCATGAGAAACATGTTTAGCATATAGCATCAATAACTCAACAAGAGCAAATGAGGGATTTTAGCCCACTGTTTAGCACAGTGACAGAGCAGTTGTATTTTCCCACTATAGTGGCCATGATTTAGCATGCAATGGGTGCAACCAAAAAGCCAATCTGACAATATAGCACGTATGTTGCATGTGAAAACTAACTTTCACATTAAGTCGTGCAATTATCTTGGATCTATCACATAAAATGATGAAGAAAATGAAAGAGATATAAATCATAGGAGTCAAGCCAAGTGGATGAAATGGAGAAATGTTTCAAGTATTATTTGTAATTGTGATGTAATCTTGGTGCGTGCCTCTCAAGTTCAAAGGAAAAATTATCCAAACAGCTGTAATACCAACAGAGCTTTATTGTACAAAAGATTGCATCATAAATGACAACATAAAGAGGTAAACAAAGATCAAGGAAAATTCAAAGAGAACCACTGAAAAAGATCTACACATTAATGACCTTCTCAAAAACTCATCTTTGACACAACATAATGGCATTGTTTGGTTCATGTGGCCAACTCTAACTAGTGGACAATGAGTTTTGTTGTTGTTGTCATCAAGCATGTTAGTGAAACTAAACAATTCATGGTCCTTCACCTAATACAGAATAAGTGATGTGGAAGGTAAAATATTACAAGCATATCAAGATTCAGGATTTTCAGGTGACTGAAAGGTAGGAAAGACGTGGATTGAAGGTTCATATGGTGTATGAGAGGGTCAGGAAAATTGCTGCGAATAGGGATTTTTCTGGGGATGTATGAGTGACTAATTTGGTTTTGATAAACACTCCCTATGGGTTTAGAGTTCGGGTGGTTCAAGGGTAAAATTAAGAAATAAATTATTGAGTATCGTTCTTATTGAGTGAATATTCAATGTTGTCTTCCAGAGGGATCAGATCTATGCAGGCAGACAAAATTGACAAAGGAAACATGAACTATAAAGAAAAACAGGAGAATAAACTTATGTTTCACACTGAAAATTTGATTTCATCACACGACTAGGTACATAGCAATTTGCACATTGGTTTAACAAGAACCCCTACAACTTATTCCATCACCATAATTATAAAGTCTTCATCCATAAGGATTTGGACTTCCTAAGTAATTAAGAAATATCTAAATATAATTAAGAAATATCTAAATACTAAAACACACACATATTAAACCCTACGTCTGATCCACCTAAAAGTAAGTAAATTACTGCAAAGATGCATCATTATAGAACAAAATCCAATTCAGAGACAATTAACTCACAATCTCCATATATTCCATTAAAAGTCAACCCAACATCACTCCCAAATAATGACCAAACCACAATGAATAGTCCAGAGCAACCTGATTATCAATTGACGAAATACATATCCCAACTTAAATTTAACCACATCATAACTAAGGTTTCAAAACCACAATATTGCAACTACAAATGTGATTGCAGGGTGCAATTTTAAACCCTAAACACAACCAATCCACATTCAGTTTAATCATTCCATTCACTGAATAACAAAGCACCGCCAAACAAATTCATGCAACAAAATCAACAAGCAGAACGTACCACTTCCTCCGGCAAGTTTCTTTGCTCTCACCGCCACAGAATAGCTGTTATCTGCCGAATTCTCCGGAGGCTTCACGGCCGGCAAACCAAGCCCTCCACCAGGGATATTTGAGTCGTTGCGACCGAACCAGCCGGTGTCCGAACAATCCTCAGAGAACTCTCCGTCGCCGATACCAACACGGCTCGAAGAAGGCGACGACGCCGCCGGGGAAGTTCCGAGAAGCGACTCCGAAGGTTTGTAGCTCCCGACTGGCACGTGCTCTTCGGATGCCTGGCGCCGAAACCCGGAGTCGGGGACAGGCACGGCGGCGGTTCGCTCGGAAAGATGACGTGGCGGAGGAATTATGACGGGGGAGACGGAGTTGTGAGCGGCAGAGTCGGAGGGGGGCTGGGAATCGAGTTCGGGCGAGTCGGGTTCGGGTCGCGGAGCGAAGAAGCCGACGCGCCTGACTTTAGGGTCGATAACGGCCCGCGAGACGCGTCGCGCGTCCATTGGAGGAAGACGCGTTGATGGTTATGATGATAATGTGGCAGTGAAGAATGAGACAGACGAAGGTATTATATTAGGGTTACGATTTCTTTGTACTCCCAATTCCAATGGTTTCGTTCTATCGGGGTTTCACGGAGATGCTTAGTTGCTAAAGCTAACAGTAGCTACGAACTACCCTTGTCCGAACTCAATTTGTAATTTTTGGACCTTCTGCGTTATTTTCCCCTTCCATTTTTCATTGGTCAATCTTGATTTGTTAAAAACACAGAAAATATATTTTTTTGATAAATTCTTTTAGAGTATAAAAATATAAAAATATAATATTCTCAATGTTATTTTATTATAATTTTTAATAAAAATATATTTATTACTTATTCTATTAATATACTATTAAGATAAATTATTCATAAAACTCTATAATTTAAATTTTAAAATAAATAAATTTATAAAAGGTATACTCTTTAATGTTATTAATACAAATTTATTGTAATTTTAATTAAATGTTTTGCTTACTTATATTACTCTTCATTTCTTTTTAATAAAAAGAAGTTATTATTTTATTTCTTTTTTGTCATCATAAAATATGAAAATTGAATAAAAATCAAATTTAATAAAATTAAAATAATTTTTTATTCTATCATATGTGTAATGAATATTAAGACAATAAAATTTTTCTTTTTAATACGATTTTTCTTCACGTTAGTCATTTCTGTTAACTTTGTTATATAACCTAACAGAGACGTCTTATGTGACACTGAAGTGGCTTAACATCATTTATTTAATCATATGTGGACTTTTTATTTAAAAAATAATTAAAAAATGCAATTTCCCCATTTCTTTTTCATCTTCTCGCAGCTCTCTCACCTCTTTCTCCTCAAATCCCCAACCCACCAACCTTGCCTCCTCCTCTCACAACCCCTTTCTCCCAGCTTTCCCTCTCATTTCTCACAACTTCGTTACTTTTTCTTCCTAACCCACTAGCCTTATTCCCCCTTTTTGCATCCTTCATTTCTCCTTGCAGCTTTTCCTCTCTTTTCTCATAGCTCTGTCATCCCTTCCTTCTAACCCACTAGCCTTAATTCCCCTCCCGTAGCCTTCGTTTCGCCTTCTTGTAAGTGAAGTGCCATCAGCAACACAAATAAACACCAAAATAACAGTAAATTCATATTTCACATAAAATTAAAGAATTATACATAAAAAGTAATGAAATTTGGAGTTTCATGCAAATCTAAAATAACCTAATAAGCAATAGAGTGAAAAGTTGCAAGCTTTAAACCGAGAGAGAGAGAGAGAAACGGAGTAGAATGGATGTATTCTGTAAATCAAATTTGATTCTCAACAGATTGCAACAGTGAGAAATCGAGCAAGGTTTATGTTCCAAGAGATGAATATTTTGGTCACCTCAAGTCGTTAGACTTCCTTTCACAATAAAATCTAAATCTTAAATCTGTTTAGCTGAATTAGTATTTGATTCAAATTTCACACCAAATGAGTTTGATAGCTTTGATGAAGTCTTGACACTCTATGAAGGTGGAATTAAATTGCCTACAGGTATACTTAGCTACCTTACTTGTACTCAAGGACTTATTTTGCACTGATGGTGAAAGTGTCTTCAAGTTTCCAATACTTGATTTGATTAAAGGTATAAGACATGATATAAGGTACATGTTTTATATTTATGCTATTAGATGGTAAGTTAGTAGCCAATCAAAGAGTATATAAATAAGAGAGTTATGAGTCTAAATTGCTTAAGGCATTTATGACAAACAAATTATTTGAGCTTAAAAGTCTACTCTATCCTAACTCTAAATCAAAGCCACATTCAAAATTCTAATATTATTGATTTGAGCTTAAAAGTCTACTCTATCCCAACTCTGAATTGAATCCACGTTCAAAATCCTAATATTACTGATATATATTGCACACAAATTTGGTTAAAAGCTATGTATTTGTTGAATTAATATCCAATTTGAGAATTTTTTTCTCAATATTTGGAGTAGTTAGTAAATCTGCATGGATGACTGATGAATCCATATTTTGACTCATATTTTAGTGTAATTCTAACTTATTTGATAAGGAAAACAAGTAAGAAACAGTAGAAAAATTAGAAAAATAGAATGACTGAAGGTTTACTTTTATTATGTAGTTAGCTTAACATTTGTGAAATTTATGTTTGTTTTTGTAGGAATAATATGAGCAAGGTTTATGGAAATGGAATATCAATGGAAAGGAAGAGGAAGAATAGCAATTATGGACTCCAAAACACAAGAACAATGAAATGCAGGCTGGGCGTGATTACTATTGTCAATGAAAGTGATCACTCCAGAGCTTAAGGAAGAAGTAAAGTCTGGGCGTAACCACTTTTACCAGCAAAAGTGAGTGTTCCAGAGAAGCCTCAGACTCAGCAGGCTCTGCGTAACCACTTTTATCAGCGAAAGTGACCGTTCCAGAGAAGGCAGAATTTCAGCGAGCTCTGCATTACCACTCTTGCCAGCAAAAGTGGATGTTCCAGAGAGGAGTGTATCAAGGCAAGTTGCGCGTGCTCACTCTTGCTCTCAAAAGTGATCATGCGCACTCCTCGACCTCCTACGTTGCTACTCTTATCAATGAAAGTGAATGTTCCAGTTTTCCAGAAACCACATGAGCTTATGCGTGGCCACTCTTACCAACAAGAGTGACAACGCACAGAATCGGGATTTCTATAAATACATGTCTTAAGCTCAGAACTCGGGGTCTTTGATTCATTTTTCCATTTTTTCTGTTAGATTCTCGTTGGGAGAGAGTGAGAGAGAGGAGTGGGGTCGAACCTCGAAGCTTCAAGAAGAGGGATTGGATTGGAGCTTGTGGCTATGACTTTTCTAAGTTTTTTTCTCTTCTTCTCCTTCTTTCTCTTTCTCTGTCACAATGTCTGTGTAATTCTCCATAGTTAGGAGTTTATGGAACTCAGATTGATGTATTGATTTGATTTTTGCTTTTGAAATTTGAGTTTTTGGATTAATTGAGTTGTTAATTCTGCACTTTATGTGATCTTTGAATGGGAATTCATTTGATTAATCAAAGAGGAACATTTGCCAATGGGAATTGGATTTGATTCTCTAATCTGAATTAACAACTAGAATTAGGGGTTTCTTAGGGATAAGTACACTTAATTTTGTAATCCTACGGTTCTAAGTCTTAATGCAACATGAAATTGAACTTCACCTAAGGAATTAGGGGGATTAGTGGATTGTTAGGGTCAATGAATTAAGGGATTAACCTTTGACTAGTTATATGTGAAACTGATTGTCAATTAACCAATTGCTTGAATATTCAGAAGTATAATTGAATTAATATTGACATTCTTGTGATGTAAATTCCTAACTATTCTTCATTCCTATCTCACTTCATCACAACTTTCATATTCTATTTTTACTGCAAGTTTAATTCTTTGTATTGTTCTGGTTCATTGCTTTCATATGTTACATCCTTTTCAAATTCATATAGCTCAAATGGTGATTGTTTTGTGAATTGATAATTGAATTCCTAATTTTCTGTGGAGACGATATTCTGATCTTAAATTTACTCATTACTTGCTGCAATTCCTAGTGCACTTGCTAGTGTTTAGAGAATTTCAACAACAATGACCTTTGAAGAATTTACAAGAGAGATGATTGCTGGTTTAAATCCTTGCATGATTTGCTGTCTTCAAGTAGGTCCAAGTGTTTTTATCCTTAGTTCCTATGTTAAACTAGTATTCATATGTCACAATTGAGGAGGAAACATTGTTTGTCATCTTTCCTCACAATATTCTTTAACTAATGTTAAGGATTTTCATCCCAAAGCAAGTTAGATCTCATAGTCTATGGTGATCAAACAAGTAAAATGACCAATACTTGAAGACTAACGTGAAAGGAGAGGAAAAGATGCAAGGGAAAATGAAGGTTGCAAGAGGGGGAAACAAGGTTAGTGGATTGGGGAGAAAAGATAACAAAGCTGTAAGAAAGGAGAGGAAAAACTGAAAGAAGGGGAGAAGGGGGCTATAAGAAGGGGAGGTAGGGCTCGTGGGTTGAGAATTTAGGGAGAAAGAGGTTGGGGAGTTACAAGAAGATGAAAGAGAAGTGGGGGAGTTGCATTTTTTAATTATTTTTTAAATAAAAAAGTTCACATATGATTAAATAAATGGTGTTAAGTCACTTCAGCACCACTTAGAAAGTCTTTGTTAGGTTATGTAACAGAGTTAACAAAAAGAACAAACATAAACAAAAAAAAATACTTAGAGGAAGAAAATTAATAAAAAAATTAGAAGACAAATGTTAATTTTACTCTGAAGTTAAAGTACCAAAAGAATAATTTTACCAAAATAAAAATTTGAACTATTAAAATATGATAAGTTATGATAATTTAGCATGTTTATTAGTGAATATTAAAAATCTTCTTATTCCAACAACCAAACTACTTTTCAAATTGTATTGCTGTGAAAAAAAAGTGAAATTATTCTTAAATTGATATTTAAAATAATTTATAATATTATTAAGATGAAAATATTATGCACTAACCAACATTTACCTAATGTCATAGACAAATTTATATAACTATAGATTATTCTTAGAAACTTTTTTGAGAAGTTGAAAACAATTACAACAAATTAATATATGTCATAATTTTAATTCAATTTTATATTTTGTATAATCAAGAAAATTATAAATTAATAATGTGTTTTGTTTTGATCATTTTTAAGACAATATTTCTTAAAATTCTCTTAATATTACTTCAATAATAAAATATTTTAATATAAAATAAATTTAACCTGTTAAAATTTTGAATTAATTTTTCAATCAACAATACAATTATTTATACTGCAATTTTGTAACATTCCTATTTCTGTATTAATTAAAATTGCATTATATGATAAATATGCCTGTAAGGGTATGTTGGAAGAGTTTTTAAAGTGTTGAACTGTAGCAAGATAATTTTCGCTGTAGCGAAAATAAGGTAGTGAAAATGGAACATTCTAGAGCGTTCTCGCTGTAGCGAGGAGTCCATTGCTATAACGAAAAGTGCAGAAAACAGAATGCAAATTTGTTTGATATTTTCACTGTGGCAAGAGAGAGTCTTGCTATAGCGACAGACTATCGTTGTAGTGAGAAAAACTCACTATAGCGAGGAATGTTATGAGTAATCTCTCGCAG